TAATGGTTGTAAAAACTGAACTGAACTGCAGGCACCAGAGGATAACTGCGAGGTGATCTAGGACTTTACTCATGTGTCTATTGATGACCATCTTTTTGAAGAACAAATCGCCTGTTTGGAATTTGATGAAGTGGGCTATTTAAAATTTTTGTATGAAGTCTCATTTTTAGTCTTTAGATGAATTCGTTTCGAATCAAATTAAGCATCGCAAAGAAGATGAGGTAGTGAATGCGCCAGAATTTATCCCAATCAGAGAGGTGCAGAAGTTATTGGATCAATTGAAGCTGTTTGCTTTGGTTAGTGCTCGAAGTTCGGGTCGATTATTGGAGTGTGCAATTGATTTAAACCGCGTTTGTTGATTTCCAAAGAACAGCCAAACTGAGACAAACGACGATTTATGATTTTGCTAAAAATACATCTTTGTAATCTGCAGTGTTTTTTGCAATTCTGTGGGACACTGAACTGAACTGTGGGGCACTCGGATGTGGTCATTTTTGCTAGTGGTCACCAAAGCCACGATCATTCTGTCTATCGAACTATCGTGCAAACGGGTGAACGATGATCGCGATTGACTGGTAAGCGGGTGAGTGGAGTAAGATGTCAGATCCGAGCGATCGATAACCACCATCGCGCGAACGCGCCTGTGTAAATGAATGAACGATACTCTCACTTGTCCTAGAGCACTGATGAAATTAGACAGATCACTTGCCAAAGGTCATCGTAACCTGGGTTTAAGGACAGTTTATGAGATGCACTTTTAGTTTAGTTTAGTTTTATGAATCGTTAACTGATGGAGAATTTCATGCGGGATTGAGAATTGCCGTAATTTCTGTAAGCTGGAGTCTATGACCTTCGGTTGGTCGAACAGGAGTGAATTTCTTCTAAGTAAACTCCCGTCTCACACCTGCCGGAAAATTTGCGAGAGAAACCGCTTATATAATAGTCCGTGTATCCTAGACGAGTCAAACGTCGGCCCAGTGTTATCACAGCCCGAACTTTTTCATTAAGAACCTCCAACATAGCGGATCGTTCCACATCTGATTCTCCTGTGGTGATTCTCTGCGAACACTTAAGCAGCATCCGATTCAGAACTTATCCTCCTCTTATGCCGGCCCGAATATCACACGACCGAGTGGGTTCATTTATCGATCGATCGGATAGGTCACCGCAACAAGAGACCTGGCGCTTG